CACAAACCACTCCAAGGGCTTCACGTAAACATGGGGAGTTTCTCAGAAGGAGAGTTCTACACACCCTTAGTTAATCAAATACAAGTGTAATTATTACATTAGTCAACAGGGACGAAACAGCATTTTAAAATAATTAAATCCATTTTTAATCAATAGACTTTTATTCAGCAATCACAATGTGCACAATGGTATTGGGTCAACAACTAGAAAATTAGGCAGCTGAGAGATAATACTGAATCCAAAAAGCTCATATTCTGGGAAAAGCCCAAATCATAAGCTGGGTATAAGCCCAAATCTAAATGGTGGTAACTGCCGTACAGTGTGGGGGGAAATGTTAGAGTCCTCAATTTTGACTTGGAAAATAGGGGTGGGGAAAGTCTAGGAGGACCTCATAAAAGGAACAGGCTCCAAGTTGGTTGAGGGGAATGAGCAGAATTTCACTTGGAAAAGGGAAGAAAGAGAATTCCAGAATAAAGAGCATTAGTAAGCAGGCTGAAGTAGAATAGTTTTGGTATTCATATTGATTCACTTTTTATACATTTTAATAGTTAAAGGAACTGTTAGTTAAAGGACCTAGAAAGCAGAGGGGATCAACTATAGCTAGAAAGAAGGCAGCATCTGCTGATATCCCTATGGAAATAAAACCAGCAGATGGAGGTTAGTGCAGGCCCACCACCTAACAAGATGTAAGGCCTTGTAGTAGGCACTTAACTTTATACAATGACTTTATGCAATGACAATGACTACACTGACAGTGTTCTGGCTTACAAACTTGCTAAAGTCTTTCCAAAAGAAGTTTTTTTGTCTTGCTTTCAAGATTTTCTGATAAATGAACCAAGATTCCAATTCTGCAAAGTCAACTCCATGTTATTAACATTTAAGGATTTTACTCATGTAGAGCAGAAACACATCCCCTTTTTGAGGCTAAGGCAAAGAAAATGGGTCAATACTTGTTGCATCAGGTCTAATTTCCACAACTGTTATTCCATCTACCTCATAGGATTGTTGAGAAGAGTAAATAAAGTGCTAAACAAAAAGAATGTTTGCTGTATTAGGCAAGTAACTTCCCAGGGTTATTTGAAAATTGACAAGCTGAGCCTGTAAAAAAAAACACAAAAAAAACCCTACCTCAGTGCTCCCTAAAGAGCCACACTAGACACTTGTTTTATGCTTGGTGCTGGATTGTAAGCTTTACTTTACATAAACTATCTCATTTAATTCTCACAGCAACGCCATGAAACCACTTGTATTTATTCCCATTTTATTCACACTCAGATAAAACCTAGGTGGGATACATAAATAACTTGCCTTAGATCAGAAGGTGGGCAAATGGCTAAGACTTGAGCCTTAATATATTTCACAAGTGGCATTTAATGAAGGATCTTTGACTGGCTCCTGGCTGAAATAACCAGTTATAAAGACATTTTTCAGACAACTGAGACTGAGTGTTAAAGACATCAGGGAATTATTCTTAATTTTGTTAAGTGAGATGATGGTATTGTGGTTTCACCAAAGAGTATTGTCTAATTTTGAAATGGTTCCACGAAAATAT